AATTTTTCAAAAAATAAAGAAAATGAGGACAATGATATCTGCTGGGAAAAATACTTTTGCAATTTTTTAAAAATCAAAATTAATTATTATGAACAAATTATCAAAATTTTAAATCAGGACAGGATCTGACCCTTCACTTGACAACTGGCCACATCTTACTCTCCTCACCCTGATCACTACCTTGGTTTGAATCAGACGCTGTTTACAAAAATTTAGCATCAAGCCAAAGTGTGGCCACTTGATTCATTTTAATGCTGTGTGAAAATATCTACCCTGGTGCCAGGAAGAATTGCCTCCACTCTAGTGCCCAAGGACAGTTTTTCATATAAAATGTATATAATTTATTTAAAATATTTTAAAATTCTTTTGAGGCTGACAAGATTTATTAAAGACATTCTCTTCCTGCAGCTCAATTCCAGAAAAATAAATGACCCAATCAAAAAATGGGCCAAAGAACTAAACACACATTTCTCCAAAGAAGACATACAGATGGCTAACAAACACATGAAAAGATGCTCAACATCACTCATTATCAGAGAATGCCCAGGTTGGATGCATGAGACAAGTGCTCGGGCCTGGTGCACTGGGAAGACCCAGAGGGATGGGATGGAGAGGGAGGTGGAAGGGGAGATCGGGATGGGGAACACATGTAAATCCATGGATGATTCATGTCAATGTATGGCAAAAACCACCACAATATTGTAATTAGCCTCCAACGAATAAAAATAAATGGAAAAATAAATAAATAAAAATAAAGACATTCTCTTTAAAGCATTTCTTGGGAATTCCCTGGCGGTTAGGATTCCACATTCTCATTGCAGAGGGCCTAGGTTCAGTCCCTGGTGGGGGAACTAAGATCCCACAAGCTGGGCAGTGCGGCCCAAAAATTAAACAAATACGCACTTCTTATCAGTGGCCCTAAGACCCCCTAGTTGGCCTTTGGCTCAGAAAAGGACGAAAGAGGCCCTAGGAGAAAGAATGAGTCTTGGGCCCTGCCAGTGCTCCCCGGAAGGTGGGAGCCGTCTGAGTGGACCACTTACTTTGGAACTTGTCCAAGCGGGTTGTAAAACGCTCTTCCGCTCCTGTTGTCGGCAACGGAATATAAGTGGCGCAGTAGAGGGACTGCTGCCTGTTCCCAGGCTCCAGGGGCTTCAGCCCAGCGCCCTCAGGGTGCTCTTTGTCCGTGGGGCCAGGAGCCCCTGCACCGTTTGAGGCAGTTGCGGCTACTCTCAGATTCGGACTGTATTTCTGCTGTCTCTTCTTTCCTGCAGATCACTGGATTACAGGAGGCATTGCATCCGGAAAGGAGGAAGGGCACCTCGATCAGGGCACTGGATGCTAGGGTTCAAGGGCAGGAGCAGGCACGCGAGCCCTGAGCTGAGAGCAGCAGAGGCAGGAGCTCTGCGTCCTGTCCCCTCCCTGCCCTAGGGAAAGGTCGTTTCCTGGAGTTCTGAAAAGTGCAGGTCACCGTCCAGGCACTGACCGCGGACTTCTTCCCAGAGCTCCGGGACGCGCATCCGGTTTCATCTCGGCTGCTCTGGCTGGGAGTCCCCTGTGCTCAGGGCTGTGGATGGAGACTCCATGCTGAGTCCTCAAGCAATGCCTGGGCACGTCCAGAGGTGTAAGCAGAAGCCAAGTGGGGGGTCTCTTGGGGTGTTTGGTCTGTTGACAGAGTGTCGACCTCAGGTTCAGCCTCAGGCTTATATATTTATAAAGAATTTTATATTATTTTACACCATGCTCACCTGTTCACAGACTAGTATTGTTACATAAGCAAAAAGTAAACTCCTATCTTATTTGCATCTTATAAATTTTGAGGTCTATCTGTTATAGCAATTAGCCGACATTAAATGATGTAAACTTTTTTAAAAGAATTTTATTTTATATAATATAAATATAATTCATATGTAAATATTTACGTGAAAGTCGCTCAGTCATGTCTGACTCTTTGTGACCCCGTGGACTTTAGCCCTCCGGGCTCCTCCGTCCATGGAATTTTCCAGCCTAGAATACTAGAGTGGGTTGCCATTCCCTTCTCCAGGGGGATCTTCCCAACCCAGGGATCAAACCCAGGTCTCCTGCATTATAGGCAGATTCTTTACTGCCTGAGCCACCAGGGAAGCCCTAGTAATCCTAAAAGAGATAGCAACTAAATAGAAATGATTTGTTGGAGCCTGCTTGCTTTGAGTATTTGCAGTGATGCTGAAATCAAAGCCCTCATGCTACCTGGAGCTTTGAGAGCAGGATCTTGGGGTGGGGTTTGTCCAGCGCTCTGGGTGCTCAGATGTACTCTGCCAGAAACCAAATGCACCCCTTGAGAAAGTCCAAGTGCCCAGAGTTTTGGTGATGAATCCATGTCAGAGTACAAGTATAGACCCCTTCCCGGTGCTTAGTATCTCCAAGAATGCTTACACGGGGTCCTTCCCAATTAATACTGTAATAAGGAAAAATGAGCTAATATTGGGAAAGCATTTAGAACAATGCCTTGTGCATAGTAAGCACTACCCAAGGGTTAAAGAAATATATGTGAAATGAAAATTTTGTGCCCATTTTCAAAGATTTATCACTTTGGACAAAAGGTATTTTAGTGGTGTATGTGGGACAGTGTTAATAGGATTATAGAAAAGGAAATAGTTTGCTGTGACCCTAGATGGATAGAATTGTGGAATTTCAAGTCCACCTGGACAATTCCTAAGAACTAATCTTGTGTAAACATCTGATCTGGCTCAATGTCCAGAAAAATAAGGGACTTGTCCGATACTCAGAACTGGTTGCTTCTTAGCCTAGGCCTTCTGATGTTCTGAGAGCCTCATCTTTGATTAAGTACAGTGATAGAAGCCTTTAAATAAGTTAGAAGAATCTTCAGGGGAAAATAAACACTGGACAGAATCTGCTAGTCTGAGACTGATTACCTTTGACTAGGCAAGAGAGACCCATTCTGTTGGCAAAATGTAGTGCTGTTAAGACAAGCAAAGGGCTTTGAGCACAGGATTAGACCTTAGGGAGAAAAAAGGTGAAGAGGGGCAGTGTAGGGAGATTCACAATGAGGGCATACTGGCTATAAGCCTCCACTCACCATTCAGGATATCAGGAAGCTTAGTCTATGTGGGCCTCTTTCTGCATAATACAGACTAATAATTACACAGTCTCCCCTACTCCTGCCCCCAATAAGCCAAATCCCAAAGGAAAACCCTAGAGAGTCTATAGACGTGAAGACACTTTCTAAGGGTGGACAACTTATATACCCTTTATTTTGGGGGAGACAGTATGTACTCTGAAGTGCTGTTCTATTCTTTTTTAAACTTTATGCATATATTTACAGATATTAGTTATTTGTTTGGTTTTTTTTTTTAAGTTTTTGGCACATTAAATGGAGAAGCAGGGACTTCCCCAGTGGTCCAGTGGCTAAAACTTTGTGCCTCTAAGGCAGGAGGCACAGGTTAGGATCCCTGGTAGGGAAACGATCAATAGATCCCACATGCTGCAGCTAAGAGTTTATATGCCGAAATTAAAAGATCCCGCATGCTGCAATGAAGATGGAGAATCCTGCGTGTGGCAACTAAGACCCAGTGCAGCCAAATAAATAAATATTAAAAAAATAAAATAGTGTTTTAAGAAATAAAAAATAAATAGAGAGACAGACCAGTTGAGTCAGTAGCTCGCCAGAGACAATACTGGAGACCGCAGTTTTCATGGTGATTCAGAGCAGAGAAAGGCCCCTGCCCTTTGCAGCATCCAGGGCATCAGCACAACAGGACTTGACCACTTGCCCCATTAACTGACTGACACCCAATGGGCTAAATGTGATCCTTGGGTTCTATCCTCAGTTAAGAAAGAGGAAGGAGGGGAAAAATGAGATGGGGGGGGGAAGAAAATAGGAAGAAATACACATCATGGGGAGAAAAAAACACCACCAGTAATGTAAAGGAGGCAATCAGGAGAGCAGGGCCAAAGCCTGACTTGCCATGTGTTGTGGGCCAGGCATGCACCTGTCTGACTCTTAGCTTCTTCACCTAACCTCCTATGTGGAGCCCTCATTAAAAAAATATAAAAGTGATTGAAGTAGGAAATGTGTGGTCATTCGTGAAGTTTTATTATTCCCGCCTCTATTGATCCTCACAACACCTCATTTCACTTGGTATTTATAATTGTTATCCTCGTTTTAAAGATACTTGAACCAAGGCAAAGAATAAGCAGCTCACCAGATTAGCCAGGTTGCCTGTGAATGAACATAGCTAGGGTTTAGATGCATGCAGTCATTCTGGCTCCAGAGCCATTGCTTTCATAAATTGGTTCCATCAGATCATGATTCCCATCTACCTTTGCTTAGAATGCGGCTCCATTTCTAATTTTTAATTTAAAAATTAACATTATATTAAATTTAACTTTAAAATTTTAAATAAAACTATTACCATGACTGTAGGGCAATAGTTACCTGGGATACATGGGTGACTGGAGGTTAGATAACACTGGAGGACACCTTCGGCCCTGGAGGAGGGCATGGTAACCCACTCCAGTATTCTTGCCTGGATAATCCCATGGACAGAGGACCCTGGCAGGGCTACAGTCCATAGGGTCGCAAAGAGTCAGACATGACTGAAGGGACTTAGCATGCACACTCCCTGAAGTGTCACAGATGTCCTAGTCTAATGCAAACTATGAGGAGAACCTGTGTAGGTCTCTCATGTAATAACTGCTCCAAGGCCAAAAATTCATCACAGAGAATCCAGCCAAGAGATCAGGAGGCCTGCATAATCCAGCAAGAGTTAGTCTGAGGATGGAATATCTTGGTTAAAGTCAGGGAGGCTGTAGGATTGCCATCCTTTGACGTCTTTTTTAAAGTAAATTGTTCAATCGCCCTCTTTTAGATGATTTCTTAGCCATCCTCAAGAAACATGAGGCAGGGGCCACTTATCTATCAGGCACAGTAAATGAGGTGCTTAAGCCCTGTGATCCCACAAAAACAATTCAATTTCTTTCATAAAAGGATGCTGAAGACAATGGTGGTTGTGACGGTAAAAAGAGGATAAATCATATATGATACTAAGCACAGGGCCCATTATGAGAAGCTATTTTGAATATTCATGATATTAACAGCTCCCAGAGCATCTACAAAACACAACTTGAAGGGAGAACCATAGCGTTCTCAACCTGGCCTGGATCTCTTTTATTTGACAATAAATAAAATGTAATTTTGTCCTAAACAAGAGATTGGAATGTTATTCCTAGTGAAAGGGAGGGGGGAAGGGGGAAATTCACCTGGGTTCACAATAGGAGCTCAGCGCAGGACGGATTGAACTTGTGCAGAAGACCTGCACCAGAGCCGCTGAGCCGAAGCACAGCAGCAGATGCGTACTGCACTGTGCTGTTCTAAGCCCGTGCAAGGCAGACGTTCTTGGATACACTAAGCCCGGGGCTGCGGTGCACACCTGCATTCTGATGTGCAAACATTGCTAAAACCCCGGAGTGCTTAAATTTTCTCAAATGTAGGGAGTTTCTTGCAGAGCTTATCTGTCCCAGAATCCTTTGCAGTCCAGCTGCGAGATCTTGCTCCCAGCAACAGCAGGAACATGGTGTGCTCTGGAGAAGCTCAGAGCAAGCAGTACCCTAGTTAATTGTTTCACCTTAATCACTAGCCCGTGGCATGTGCAAGCTGCCAAATATGAAAGGTTGGACCCTGTAAGAGTCTGCAAACTATCCCACAAGGGCTCCTGCTGTTATTGTGAGGTCTCATGCCTCCCAACCTTTCCCCTACTCCTCCCCTCAAAATCAACTTGCACTACCCAGGATTGCCCCTTCCTCAGGGTGTACACTCTGCAAGTGGGGAGTAGTGAACTGAACTGTAAACCAAAGCCCCAATTCCACAATACCCATGCCCCCACCAGCACACTGCTCTTCCGTGGTGTCCCCATTTTGGGAGCCACGCCCCTGCCTCTTTCGCGCCTAAGCAAATCCCACCCCCAGTGACTACCATTAAAAATGAGCCAATAGCGATCGTTCAACGTGGAGCGTGGAGCGTGTGTCGGGGGGGTGGAGGTGAACCCAGCCCAAACCGTTATATACCGCGCCACACCCAAGCCCGAGCGCCAGTCTCAGGCTCTCTGCCTTCAGCAGAGCTCCTCGAGGCAGCGAGCTTCCACGGCCCGCCAGCCATGGAGTTTCCGCCCGAGGACCACCAGTGTGGGCCCTACTGCGTGAGAGCTTGCACTTTGGATGTAAGACCTGCATTTGAGCAGGATGGAGGGCCAGAAGACAGAGAAGGCTACTTGGTGCAAGGAGGTCGTCTGGCCTTCGTGGGTGGCGTGAATTACGTGAACCTCCTCAGCCTCGGCTACTGGAACCAAGGAGTCGTCTGGAACCACCAGGGTCACAATGGTGGTGGCCAGGAGCCGGAGCAGCAGCCAGCTGAGGAGCCAGCTGAGGAGCCACCGGAGGAGCCAGGCGTAGTGGCGGCTATGGTCCAGGTGCAGCAGCAGCAGCAGGACCCGCCGCGCCGTCGCAGGCAGCACAGGAAGTTCACGGCCATGCAGCTGCGGGAGTTGGAGGAACTCTTCCAGGAGACTGAGTACCCGGACCTTCTCACCAGGTACTTGGCGGGCTCTGGGGGCGCTGGGTCCCAGTGGGTTTGGGCTCATTTCCAGCCTCCTCTATCCCTCTGTCGGGACTGTTCGTTCCCTTCCAAAGCCACAAAATCAACCTGTACCCCGGGATGGGGGTGGGGGTAGGAATGCCTTAGTTATGTGGATCCAGTCTGGAAAGTGGTCCGTGGTGGTGGTTGTTTTTTAAGCTGTGGGAAAATGTATGTAACCATAAGATTTACTGTTTTAACATTTTAAGTGTCGAGTTCATTAGTGTTAAGGATATTAATATCGTTGGGCAAGCAAGCTGCAGAATTTTTTAACTTGCAAAACTAAAACTGGATGTGGAAGGCAAGCCACCATCTGCCTCCCCCACCCCGTCGAGCCCCTGAGGACCACGTTTCTTTCTACTTTCTCTTTATATGAATTTCACTACTCTGGGTGCTTCATATAAGTGGAGTTGTACAGTGTTTGTCTTGTTGTAATTGGTTTATTTCACCTAGTATAATGTCCTCAGTATTCATCCATGTTGGAGCACACGTCGGAATTTCCTTCCTTTTTATGGCTGAGTAATATTCCATTATACATGAATACTGCTGTTTATCTGTTCCTTTATTAATGAGCACTTGGGTTGCTTTTACCTTTTGGCTATTGTGAATAACGCTGCTATGAGCATGGGTGTGCAAATAACCGACTCACTGTTTTCAGTTCTTTGAGGTTTATACCCAGAAATGGAATTGCTGAATCATATAGTAATTCCGATTTTAGGTTTTTTTCTTCTTTTGAGCTACTGTTCTCTTTTCCATAGTGGCCGCACGATTTTACATTCCCACTCGGAGTGTACAAGGATTCTAATTTCTGCACATTCTTGCCAATGCTTTTTTTTTGTTTGTTTGTTTTTATTATTAGCCGTTTTATTGAGTGTGAAGTGGTATCTCACTGTGATGTTGATCTGCATTTCCCTGTTGATTAGTGATGTGCTTATTCAAATCTTCTAACCATTTTATGCTTTATAAAACTAATATATTTATTTTTTTCTTAATTTTTATTGTAGTAAAATACACATAAAATTTGCTATCTTACCATTTAAAATTTTTCATTTATTTATCTTTGAACTTGGTCTTAGTTGCATAGGACTTTTCTCTAAAGATGGAGGCAGGGGGGTGGGGGAGTGCCCTACTCTCTAGTTGCAGTTCCCGGGCTTTTTGTTGAGCGGGCTTTTCTCACTACCGTGGTGCAGTGCGCAGGCTTTTCGTTGCACGGGCTTTTCGTTGAGCGGGCTTTTCTCACTACCGTGGTGCAGTGCGCGGGCTTTTCATTGCGCAGGCTTTGTGTTGCACGGGCTTTTCGTTGCGCGGGCTTTTTTCAGTACCGTGATGGCAGTGCGCGGGCTTTTCGTTGCACGGGCTTTTCGTTGCGCGGGCTTTTTTCACTACCGTGGTGCGGAGCGTGGGCTAGGGCGCCCCCTGGCTTCTTTTACTGCGGAGCGTGGGCTAGGGCGTCCCCTGGCTTCAGTAGTTTGCAGCACCTGAGCTTCAATTCCTTCAGCTCCCAGGCTTTAGAGCACAGACGCGGTAGTTGTGATGGCCAGGCTGGCCAGGCTTGGTTGCTCCGTGGCATGTGGGATCTTCCCTGATCAGGGATCAAATCCATTTCTCCTGCATTGGCAGGCGGAGTCTTTACCACTGAGCCACGAAGGAAACCCCTTTACCATTTTTGAGCATACACTTCCATGATATTAAAATAAGTACATTCTTATTGTGCAACTATCACCACCAAACCACCTCCAGAATGCTTTTCCTCTTGCAAAACTGGAACTCTGAACCCATTACATAGGAACAGCCTGTTCCCCCCACCCCTTCTCCCAGTCCCTGATAACTGCTATTCTTTCAGAGAGGTCTTGAGGGGAGAATGCAAATTTTAAAACAAGCATAAAACATATCTATATATTTCATTTTGTCTATAACTCAAATACTAAACACTTGTGTTTTTCTCTCCTCAGACAGGAGATTGCGAGACGCTTGGGTGTGAGTGACACCAGAGTGCAGGTCAGTAAGTCTGAAAAAAACTTTTTCTAAAATTGACTTGGGGATTTGAACACCTTGTCCTGAATACTCTTGATACTCTCATGTTGTCTTTTTTATGTTGGCAAATAAGTTTTGATTTTAGTAGTCTTTGTGGGTAGCAAACTCCAGATTATACATATTTCCTGATACCAGAGGGAACATGATTTCCTAAAGGAAGAGAAACAATGAAATGCTTTCCCTAATCTGTATATAAAATTTCAATATATATGTATATATATATTTACAAACATAGATATGTATATCTATATACATGTATATGTGTATATTTAGTAAAGTTCAACTCCTAACAGTGGTATCCTCTAGGGAGCACTTCTGTGTGGAGTCATGTTGGGGCTCAGACTGACTTCGGAAGTATTCAAATTAATATACAGAGGAGCAGGTTGTAAGAGGGTTCAATTGTACTATATTATTTAAAAGCAGGCATAAACTCTTTGCTAAATGAGTGAATTGATAAATATCAGGGTGAGGGAGTAATTTATCCACAGAACACACTATGTGAGTGACTAATAAATGCTGAGACTGATAGGGGAAGATAGTTTAAAAGTCTAATTGACTGGCCCTCCTTCTTTTGTTTTTAAGTGTTTGGGATGGCAGTATAGAGAGTAGCGGCCCTAAATTTTAATTTTCTAGAATACTTGGATATGTCAATCTGAAAGCATCGCTAGAATAGTCACATTAAGATGAGAATGGGGGGAAAGTTTGCAAACTTTGGAAATTTGTCTAAAGAATAAAACTGCAAAAAGAATAATATTGAATTAATATTAATTGACCCAAGAAGTATGAAAAGGTTAGAGAAGAAATACAGATACTACACAAATTCAACATTATGAATCTACTAAATGTATAAGTGAGTATTCTCTTGAGGAATTTCTAATGTCTAAGGATGTTTTTCACATTTTGGTAGGACTATTTTTTAAATTAATTTATTTTAATTGCAGGCTAATTACTTTACAATATTGTGGTGTTTTTTTCCACACATCGACATGAATCAGCCATGGGTGTACATGTGTCCCACCATCCTGAACCCCCCCACCTCCCTCCCCCCTGCCAGCCTTCTGTATTGTCCCAGAGCACGTGCTCTGAGTGCCCTGCTTCATGTATCAGACTTGCACTGGTCATCTATTTTGCTTATGGTAATACACATGTTTCAATGCTATTCTCTCATATCATCCTACACTTGCCTTCTCCTTGGTGGGACTATTTTGAAGGGGCAAGTTTTATGGAATTTGTTAGGTGAGGGGTGGGTGGCCCTCATGTCAGGGTAGATTCCTAGCTGTATTAATATCAAACGCTTTTCATTCCCTCAGGCAGTGATAACTAATTTGTAGGTCTTGAGATCAAAAGGTGACCAAAAAACACCATAATTTTTATCAAAGCTTTATTTGCCCAAAAAGAAAAGAATATCAGGACGAGAGTTGATTAGCTTTGCCACAGAGTGCATGCGTGAGCCAGGGACCAGCACTGCAGAGCTGGTGGCGGGGTGCCTGAAAAGCAGCCCAACAGTCAGCCTCTTGGGTATCGGCATCCTAACGCCCCAGCCTGGGCCCACAGGCCTGACTCAGGTCGGAAAGGTTAGAAGGAGATTAAGAAGACTTTCTCAAGCTGCCCAGGCATTTGCAGAAGAAGAGAAAAAGTTCAGTGATTTGCTTTCTCCCTCACCAGATTTACATGGTCCTCTTTTGGTGATATTCTGAAGAGAATATAAGCCACAGGAAACAAATCAGGGGAAAACTTAGTATTCTCATCTATTTCCAAACCATACAGCATGAATTTTCAGTAATACACGATTTTCTACCTTTCACTTGCAAATAGAGTTATTTTGTGAAAGCAGTATTGGAAATACAGACCTAATGTGAGCTTAGGACACAACAAGCTTTGGGCTTCGATTCTGTTTACAGAGATTTGACCACTGGTGGTACATTTAGAGTCCCTCCCGGCTCAAAATAAGCCCTGTTACACCAGCCTGGTTTAGACTATTCATGCAGCAGAGAGACTGCAAATCCTAAAAGGGAAGAATGAAAATGAGGTCTCAGGAAGGGAAAGAGGGCCCTTTGGGTCACTTAAACTTTACAGTTTGGGCACTTTCAAAAGGATTGAAATACAGTGTCAACCCCCATTAACTAGTACATTGAGAGACAGTGAAGTCTGACAGTTTTGTTGGTTTGTTTGCAAAAATAGTAGACAGACTTACTTTTCAACCGGCCCTCCAACTGTAGTTCTCCTCCCCAAAGCAACCATTCTTTGCTTCATATAAATCTTATTTTTTAGTTTTTATTGGAGTATAGTTGATTTACATTGTTGTGTTAGTTTCAGGTGTACAGCAAAGTGGTTTCGTATAAATCTTAACAGAAGTGTTCAATGCATATAAAGGCAATTATGTGTATATTCTTTAAAAAATATAAATGATAGTATCCTATACACACACTGTTCTTCACTTTAGTAATATAGCTTGCTTAGAGAGTGTTCCATGTTGGTAAAAAAAATCTATATTAATATATAATGGGCAGATATTTAGGGAGGAGCCATTTAATGATCCCTTGCTCTCATTGTTGTCCACTATCTTCCAAAAATGCCTGTTTCACCTTCTTGCCTTAAGAATAAGGGATGGGATTGGGACCTCCTGGTTGAGTTGCAGCACCTAGGATAACCTGCCATGCTGGACATCTGTGGCTCCAGTCCAGGATCCTGGAACTCTAGCCAGAGCAGAATGAGCTGCCTTGGTCCCGAGCCCAGGAAGGTTTGTAGGGTGGGGTAGGTTGGAACATGCAGAATTGACAACGGTGACCATGGTATGCCTCTTTCCCCTACACTCTTGGGTGGCCTAAGGTTTTCAAGAGTCTTTGTTAACTTGGGTTGAGTTGATCTTAACACTACAGGCTAAAATATCAAGGCAGTGTCCAGAGCTTCAGCAACTCTCATTTCCTGGAGACACAAGTCACAACCCACCCTGGGCTCCTTTGCCAGACCACTTTTCTAACTCTCAAGACCTTTCAGAGGACTAATGACCTCTTAGACATCCTTCTGTTTAAAAATCCAACAAGTTCCTTCCTATTAATTATTTACTTCATACCAAAGATAGGCTTTTCAAATAGGGAGCTGTTCCCCTCAGTATGACCTTAAATAGATCCACTGCTTACCATGCCTAAATCCACCCCCAACAAGATGACCATCTCCCTAGTGAGGACAGGGCAGGAGATAGCCAGATGGCTGATGATGAGCTGTCAGAATAGAGACCATTCTTTATCCTGTTACTGGGCATTTTATCAATAGCAAGGACCCAGTACAATGATTCATAAACTAAACCTGCATCCAATACTTGGGAAAAAATTAGAATATGAAAATTTCATGGAGAGAGATAAAAATAATAAGCTTATGCCAGAACTGGGCCCACAGCAGAGCTCATTAAGAATGAGCTGAAAAGAGGGGTGTGGAGGTTTAATTTTCCTGAGGTACCTTAGCAAGAAGGAAATAGCATCTCCTAATGCCCTTGGAAATCTCAATGTCATATAAAGTTGCAAGCTGTGTTTTTTGTATTATGACATTAACTGCTCAATACCCTAAACCAATCTTTTCTCCCCTCTCATTGTAGATTTGGTTTAAGAATAAGAGAGCCAAGAATCGGAGAAATGAGAGAGCAGCCATGGCTCAAGCTCCACCACCTGCTGCCATAAGGCGCCTTTACTTCTTCCTGGCGGATGTGCCCTAAGATCTCGTCCGGGTTCTGGAGCCATACTGGAGATGGGTTCTTCTGGTGCCACTGACACCTGGGCTGCCCATGCTGCCCATGCCACCCATACCTCCTCTGTACTTGTATAAGCAATAAAGAGATAAATTCTCAATATATTTGACTCTGTGTATCAAATGGTGCCAGTGGGTTATGTGTGAAAATTGTTAAGGAAATGCCATTTCAACAGAATGACAAGGTGACCTCCTTCCATGAGGTGACACACTAGAATCACTACTAGTAGGTCCTGTGTATGTTGCAGAAGTTTCCCAAGCACACATGGTGAGTTTGCACTGACCCATATATTCTCCTCCATCTCTCTCATCACCCCCACTCTTATCCCCAACCTGCCCCTTTGGGACCACATACATATGCACAATGGGGTGGGGTGAGTCCCTAGTGTGAGAACAGGGTGTTTCCAGACAGGGATGAGCTCCATTCATGCTGACAAGTTCAAGCTGAACACTGGAATCGTAAGGCCATCTTCCCTTAGGAGGCTGCTCGCAAGGATCGTGGGAAGGTGATAGCCAAGCATTCATCCCACGTGCTCCAAATTCTGTTCACTATTCTCTCTAGGGAGAAGATGGGGGAATAGGAGTCCTGGCACACTGGTTCTGCTGCTTCAAAAGAAACATAAGAGACTTCATCAGGCCAGAAAAAGGCACTTCTCCCTTTTTTCCCCTCTACCCACCAGCCTGAGTATATTCTTAACTCTTCACACCAGCATATTCTATATTCTTCACACCAGCATATTTTTCACTTTTCCAACTCCGTTCAGTTCAGTCGCTCAGTCGTGTTCAACTCTGCAACCCCATGAACTGCAGCACTCCAGGCCTTGCTGTCCATCACCAACTCCCAGAGTCCACCCAAACCCATGTCCATTGAGTCGGTGATGCCATCCAACCATCTCACCCTCTGTCGTCCTCTTCTCCCGCCCTCAATCTTTCCTAGCATCAGGGTCTTTTCAAATGAGTCAGCTCTTCACATCAGGTGGCCAAAGTATTGCAGTTTCAGCTTCAACATGAGTCCTTGAATGTCATCACCCTTGATCATCACCCAGGACTGATCTCCTTTAGGATGAACTGGTTGGATCTCCTCACAGTCCAAGGGACTCTCAAGAGTCTTCTCCAACACCACAGTTCAAAAGCATCAATTCTTCAGCACTCAGCTTGCTTTATAGTCCAAATCTCACATCCATACATGACTACTGGAAAAACCATAGCCTTGACTAGACAGACCTTTGTTGACAAAGTAATGTCTCTGCTTTTTAATATGCTGTCTAGGTTGGTCATAACTTTCCTTACAAGGAATAAGTGTCTTAATTTCATGGCTGCAATCACCATCTGCAGTGATTTTGGAGCCCCCAAAAATAAAATCAGCCACTGTTTCCACTGTTTCCTCATCTACTTGCCATGAAGTGGTGGGACCGGATGCCATGATCTTAGTTTTCTCAATGTTGAGCTTTAAGCCAACTTTTTTGCTTTCCTCTTTCACTTTAATCAAAAGGCTCTTTAGTTCTTCACTTTCTGGCATAAGGGTGGTGTCATCTACATATGTGAGGTTACTGATATTTCTCCCAGAAATCTTGATTCTAGCTTGTGCTTCCTCCAGCCCAGCGTTTCCCATGATGTATTATCACAACTTCAAATTTATTTTGTCACCTTCAACATCCAATTTCTGCTCTTAACCAGTAAAAGGGAACCTCTTGGTTTAATGGTGCTCCAAGCAAAAATAACCAGATGTTTTTCCAAGCAGTGCTCCAGAATAATCACTCTTTGCAAACAGTCATGCCTTTGCTTTATTCGTATTGTTTCCTATGTGTGAAATGACCAGGGTAAGAAAAAAAGTAAATTTAGGAGAGTGAAAACCAGGCCTACTTTTCAAAAAGCATTTATTTACTCTCAACTGAACCCTTCTTGTTTAATAATCTTTCATAATGTGAGGCTCCTTAAATGAAGTTTGATATTAAAAGTGATTAAAAATTGCAGTGACTACAGATAAGATGCTGTAGTTACATGAGATTTCTTTTCATGGAAGTTAATCAAAGACCAGTTTTACAGCACTTCTATGCACACACACCAAGGAGACAGTTTTCTCAGGAAACCGTACACTCTTTGCCACAGTGTTCACTAATTTCGGGGGCTTCCCAGGTGGCTCAGTGGTAAAGAATCCACCTGCCAATGCATGAGATGCAAAAGAAGTGGGCTCGATCCCTGGGTCGGGAAGATCCCCTGGAGAAGGAAATGTCAGCTCATTCCAGTATTCTTGCCTGGAGAATCCCGGGGACAGGCTGGTGGGCTCCAGTTCATGACTGAGCTGTAAGGACATGAGCTCTACAGGACATAACTGAGTGACTAAACAAGCACTAAGTTTTATTCTGTCTTACCACTTCTCTTACTTGTGAGTGTCA